GCAGCTGTTGAAAGATGTTCTTGTCCTTGGCCGGTGACTGGAAGGAGACTTCTTGCGACATGTCAAAGTCGGGCTGGCGATCGAGATATGTCGCGTCGCCAACGTTGGTTCCTGGCGTGTCGAGGACACCGCCATAACCGGGACGTGCCATTGTCGGGTGGCTCGGGGGGAAGAGTTGATGTGGTGGTGGTGGTGGTGGTGGTGGTGATGTGGGTTAGCAAGTCGAATGTATGTTTATCTCGTCGTGCGTAGAGACATGGATGCAACGAAACATAAAGAACTGCAGACCAGCAAGTATAGCACGTGAAGCTCAGCAGTTGTGAGGCTGGCGATAGAAACTGTACGATGCAAGCTTTCAACTGCGTCGAGGTGCAAGGCTGAGAGTAAAAAAAAACGAGTAGGTGACAACGCGACTTGTGCTTGCCTGCTTTGCGAAATATGGACGTGATTCAACTTGCAATCGCGAGGGTGGCTCTTGCGCCCGTGATGCAATGGACGAGGCGCGTTTTCCACAGTTTGTTGACATTCCATCCATATTGGGTTAGTTTCATTTACTTTCTTGGGTGGTAATCATGACTAAGGCTGTCGGCCAATCAAGACACCAATTCAAACTACCCCGCACACATGACCAGGTGCCGATGAATCGTGCCTCTTTGAGCTCCCTTGCCCCCCAAGCCCCCCCTCGACACGCCCACCCACCAGAATGCGTCTCTACACCCAGCAAATGCCAGCAGAATGGCCCAAAACTCATGCCACAAGGGTGGAGAACCCTGCGTCTGTTAGCGTCACAGCCGCAGCATCTCCAAGCTGCAAGCTTCCACGTGAGAGCGACTCAGCCGCCCATCCATCCCAGGGTCATCCAACGACACATCAAGACGCGCACACTCGGCGGTCAAGACTGTCCCAGGCCGGTCTAGATCTGCGCTGCAACCAATATCGAGCTACCCCATCCGGGCACATAGCTACCAGGTGCCAGGTTTCTTCGCGGCAAACCCCAGGGAGCTCTCCAACCGAGGGGTCATCCATACCATGACGGGTTCAATTTTCAACTGAACTGACCCCATAGCCGGACCGACCCCTCCTTTCCATTTGCCTCGCAGGAGATCCTTTAAATATACGGCAAATCATTTTGAATCTTGACAGAGTTCGTCCTGCATTCTCGCTACCCTCTTCTGCTGTTCTTCCAACCTCTTCAACCACGTCTGCGCCGGCTTTTGTCCCTTACTCCTCCACACGCTGAGCAAGTCGCCTCCCTCACATCGCCACCATGCCCACCTTGGAAGAGATCCCCGATGAGATCATCCACCACATTCTCTCCTACGTGTCGCCGGAGAACAATCTGCTCAGCGTTCAGCTGCTCTCGAGACGACTCAACACGATCGCCAACGAGCCGCTGCTATGGCGCCAGCACTGTCGGACGTCCTTCAAGTACTGGGGCCCTGACCATGACTTCCAAGCCAAGCTCGACGGCAAGGTCTCCGACGTCGACTGGAAGGGGCTGTTCCTCGTACGCAAGGCGACCAACGCCCGCATCTCCAACCTCTTCGACGGCATTCTCGCCACCAAGCTCGGCCGCGTGAGGAGGTTCGAGCAGATTTGCCTCCTCGGCTACGACGCAAAGGACTTCCTGCTAGAGCAATGTCACACCATTGACACGGCGGACGACGTGCTGGCCAGGCGGTAGGAACTGATAGGTATTCCTCAAGCCACCACTCCGATCACTGAAACGAGCGCTCAGGTATCACAGCAAGGCCCTTCTCGCGAGCCTCCGCCGAGGACTCGCTCTCGACGTCTGGGACAGCCTGCGCCGCCATCCGGATATCGTGGCCAGCGGGCGAGACCCCCCGTGGCGAAGACCGCGCGCTCTGGAGTCGGCTCTCTCTGCTCTGGACATGTTTGTCATCCAGGATGATGCGGGCGACATGAATCACGTAGGTCTTTGGTTGACTGCGCCCGGCGCCGTGCATGAACTGACATGGTGTCAAGGTATCCCGCATCCTCGATGACCTAGCCCTCGAGTTCCGGGTCCTCTCAACATAGCTTTGAGCGACAAAGCACGCGAGACAAGTCACTGGCTCTGAACCGATGGCTTCGAACGCATAATCTGACAGGCATGAGCGATCCTCACAAGAACTATCGGAATCTGAGAAACTGTTTCATCGGCCAAGCCCTGCGACAGGAGGAACACGAGTCGCTACCTCTCATCTCCGTGGCCATCTTCTGCTGCCTCGCGGAACGCCTGGGTCTGAACGCGCACTGCCTGGCCATTCCGGGCCATGTACATGCAGTAGTGTATGCCACGCGCGACACGAACCTCGACGGTGTCAAGACGGAGACGGGGGAGGGAAATATTGAGCCTGCAATTGATGAGATGTATCTGGATCCTTTCGCGTCAGACTATGAAGTATCCAAAGACTCGCTGCGTACCCTCGTGCTCGGTGTTGGCTGGCAGAGGTCTCTGGAAAGCCTCCTCCACCCCGCGCCCGCCGCGACGCTCGTCGTGCGGATGGCCACCAACATCAAAGCCACGTACACCTACCACCGCGGCCAAGACCCGTTTCTGCGCGCCGGGAACATGCTGCACGGCCATCCTTCGGAGAACCTCGAGCTCGCCGTCTACGCCCAGGCCTGGGCGACGCTGCTGCTCACGCCCGGCGCGCCCGAGGAGTTTGGCGAGAGCAGCCGCGAACTCGCCTTCTGGTTCAATGCGCACCGCACAGAGGACGTGTGGCTCATTGAAAAGTACTACTCGCCCCTCAGCGAGCGCATACTGGGCACCTCGGCCAGCGAGTTCACGCGCCCCATGCGCAGGGAGGACGAGGAGTCGCCCGTGCCGCGGCGACGGGTGCCGGACATGACCTTCCGCATCGGCCAGGTGGTGCGGCACGCACGGTACGACAGACTCGGCTTGGTCTACGGGTGGATCCAGCACGCGGGCATTACCTTCTATAACTGCATGTAAGTGTCCGGCTCGTTTCGCGTCTCCAGTTTTTGTACGTTGACCCCGTCGACAGGATCGAGGACGGGCCGCCGGCTGTTGTGGCCAGGGCTGATAATCTGGAGCTCGTCAAGGAATCCCGAATCTGGCTCCGAAATCGGTTTTGAAAAGGCGGGGCTCTACT